CCAGTCTGGCTGTGTCCTTGTCACGGTGGCTCCCAAGTGCCACCCTCGCTGATGTGTGTGACAATGGGAGACGCGCCCGCCCCGTGTCACCGAACCCATGTCGCTGCTGTCACAGGGCTGGCTCTGGCTCCTTGCCAGAGGAGAGAGGATGGAAACCCTTTTTTTCCCTTTCTCTTTGCTCTCCCAACAATTCATCCTAAATTTACCCATCCCAACCAAGAGGAATAGCAGATTTGTGTTTCCAAACAAGCTGTGTGTCTGCTGGTAGATAAAACCAGTACTGGGGGGACAAAAGAAACAATGGGAAGGATTCCACTGACTGGTGAATGGAAAAAGATATTTGCTTTTACAAATAAACTTTAGGTTTGCTGATAAATGACATTAGACATTGAAAGATGAAAGAAACAATGGGGAAGAAAAACCCCTAAATTCCATAAGAATTAAAAATTAAAAGGGAGGGTTATACATTAGAGGGGAATCTTTGGTATCAGGTGTTTTGGGAAGTCTGTACCTCTCAAGTACCTCAGCCAGTGGGGAAAGAGAGAGGGAAATGTGGCTGGGAAATCAGGATTAAAAGGAGGCTGTGTCCTCCAAAAACCTGAGAGATCCCAGGGGAATGCCCCATGGCCTCTCCCTTTATTGGAATAAAGTAACAGGACTCCTCTGTCTCCTTTTTGGACATAAACCTCTGATGTTTGTGGATTAATTTACCTGACGCAACTCAAGTCTGCCCCTGCTTTTCCTGGGTTTCCCCACTCTGCAGGAGCATAGTTTTTGGGTGGTTTTTGGGGCCATCCATCACATCCATCCCCACAGCCCCGAGCCACACACGGGATGAGGATGGAGCAGCCCCTCCTCAGCTGGTGTAAATCATCTCAGATCTGCCCCCATCGGCAGAGCCAAACTTCCCCCCAGCCCTGGAAGGGAACCCAAGCCACGCTGCTCATCGCAGCACAAAGAAATTTCGGCAGTAATTAGATCTGGAGCGTGATTACCCAAAGGGAAACGCAAAACAAATGTGGGTGACAGATATTTCCAGGATAACTGGAGTTATTAATGCTTTTCTCCAGCAGTGACAGGCACAGGGGATTAGTAGTGCCTGAAAAAGTCTGGTTTAGTGTGGGAAAAGCTGAGGGCTGGAAATGAAGCAAGGAGGAGGCCATCTGCTGCTCGGTGAGCTCGCGGGGCCCTGCGAGGAAAGCTGCAGCCAAAACAACAAAAGGCAACGATGGGAGGCATATGTGAGGAGAAGCACCGACCTGTTGCTCCTAAGTTTCCAGTTAAAAAGGGAAAAAAATAGAAGGAACCTGTTATTTGTTGCATGAGCTCCCCTGGAATTAGTGACTGCAGCACTGCTGAGCCCAGCAGAGTTTCCAGCTAAAGCTGTTCCTTCCTGCTGGCTTGGGTTGGGTTGTTTGGGTGGGAGAGGGAAGGACCAGCCCTCTCTCTGTCATAAATTCAGGCAGATTTTGGGCTGCTCAAAGAATCACCATCAATAGAAAAATACTTTAGAGATGGGTTTATAAAAACACAACAAAGTGCAATGACAAAGTTGCTCTGTTACATGGATTCAGGGAAAATTGATGTAGAAATGATTTACACAGAGTCTGAAAATGCAAAAGGGTAAAGAGACCCTCCCACTGAGCCATGGGGTTCAGAGTACAACCTTTCACTTTCTAAACTCCTGATGGAGCTAAAGCATGGCTAAGCCCAACCTTAGTTGCAGACTGGGAGAACAGTTTAGGTCTACAGGAATTAATTATGTGGATTTCTGTGATGTTGAGTCACCTGCTACGAGCAGCTTACCATGGGTCTGGGAGCACAGAATCTCTTTGCCTGGGCTAGGGAAGGGTTTCTCAGTCCAGGCAGGGAATCCCAAACCTTGAGAGGTGTCCCAGTCACTGGTGTGCAGTCAGCTGCAAAGAGCAGACAACACTGGAATTAGACTCATCCAAAATCTGCCATTAACAGAGAGCTCTCTCAGCCTCAAGGAACAGCCAGGAATGTCCCATCCCAAGGGGAGATCGTGGCCATGCTGCCCAGCAGAGCCCATGAGGGCTCCCTAGATGGCCAAAATTGTGGGACAAGGTGGCTGGTGGCCAGACTGGACACAGGGGGAAGGGTGTGCATGAGGCTACTTGAACCCACAGGGTTCTTTGCTCCTTGAGAAATTAATCTTGGAAAAACCACTGCTGTTCCTGTGTTAATCACAGGATTTGGGATCCCAGCACCAGTGTTCTCTGGGGCTTTCTCCCCCTTTTTGAGGGCTTCCTAAAGGAATTCTTGGCCCTCTTTTAGCCTGTGTCAAGGTACTGCTGGTTGGGTTAAGTGCATCTCACCCCCTGCACACTCCAGAGGTGCCCATCCCCTCCTCCAGACCTTCCTCTCCACTGAGGATCTGCTCCTTCCAGCAAGGGAAGGGCAGGAAAAGGTATGAGCTGGGCCCTGTGTCCTCCTGCACAGCTTGGGCAGGCAGCCATGAGCTATGTGGGCTGGGAATGCCATGGACTAACCCACCCTAAGGTTTATTTTTGGGTGTGTGCACTCAAAAACTGCTCCAAGAGCATCCCTCAGCAGTCTGGATACCCCAAACCAGATGTGCTCCCTCAAACCCATCCAACCCTGCCTTAAATAAAAATCTGCAAGAAAATAGGGCTAAAACAACGTTCAAATGAGGGAAAGGATGTCTTTTTTCTTTAAATATAAGGAGTGCTGACACCTAGGAAGCGGCAAGATGAATTTCTAACAGGGTTGTTTGTCAATATGCATAAAACATTTTGTTGTCTGCTCTGTGCTTCCCATGGGTGTTGGAAAGAGCCTGGAAAACTCCACCCAGTCCCAGCCAGATGCTTCAGGGAAAGCTCAAAGACCTTTACAGCAAGGTGATAACCTCACCATAATTAAAGCAGAGATTTTATCTAAAATTGAGGTATTTAATAGACAGTCTGAAATACACGGCACCACCAGGGATCACTGACCACAACCTGGTGCAAAGCCATTCATAATTTCATTTTCTTATGGATTTGAAACTGGATTTCCATCTGGGAAGCTCCCAGATGGGGTACAGACATGTGGCTCTGATGAGACCAGTGTAACTCAGGTTTAAAGCCGAATGAAAGCCCATCTGCACAGCCCCAGCCTTCCCAGGGAAGGCGGAATGCATCCCCCGGGCCGGAGGGAGGGGAGCACACCCGTGGCTGGGCTGATGAGGTGATGAGAAGGTGCGAGGAGCTCCTGGGGAGGTGGGAATTGCCATGGCTCCAGGAGCACCAGCACTCCCCAAGCGGCCCAGGGCAGGGAAGGGCATAAATGAGAGGGAGGGAGCATCCCACCGGGCTTTGCCGGGCTTTGCCGGTGCCACCTGCAGCTGGATGTCCACTGAGATGTGTAATTGTGGGTATTCCTAAACTCCTCCTTGGGTTTGCCCTGTGGCAGTAACCACCAGTGGTGACAGGGCTACATCCCACAGGGTGTCTGTGATCCACCTTTTGAGGTATTTAAGGGTATTTGGCTTTTTTTACAACAAATCACAGCCTGCCACAAATTGATGCTCTGGTTCTCTGCAGGATACCTGGCCTGGAAATGTGGGAAGGGAAGAAAGCACCAGAATGTTTCCACCTGGCAGCTGGGTTGGCTTTCACAGGACATCCTGGATGAGACAATGAGCGACACTTTTCTGCCCTCTGCACTTCAAATGGGCTTTGAAAATCCCTCCAGGGATCCAGGAGATGCCTAAGCATCTCTGGCTGAAGGAAAAGCAGAGCCCTCTCCTGCTCAGTAGAAGCCAAACACCTCATTAGCAATATTCAGGAATTCCCAAATTCCAAACGCACAGTGCTGAGAAGGACAGCCAGATAAACTACCTTTCACCAATTCTGGGAATTGCTTTTGTTCATGGCTGGAAAAATCCTCCAATTGTTGCTTCCTAGCAGAGTATTCCATCAAACCCAGGAATTCCTCCCTGGCCCCACTTTGGAAAAATGTGCTGTTCCTTTTTTACTTGAGCACTGAAAGTCTTTGGTTAGATGATAACCAAACACAGAGGATGGGGAGTGCAGACCTCTGTGATGCTGCCCTGGTGTGGCTCTGCCTAAATCCCAAAAAAAATCCCCCCAAACCTCTCCCTGTTTCCTCAATATCCCGACAGAGGCAACTCAGCTGGAAAGATGCATCCTGGCTAGGATCTCCTGGAATTCTTCCCATGAGAAAGGCAGATATTTATTTAAAGATGGGACTGAATCAAAACAGACATGGGGAAATGTCAAAATATTCCATAAGTAGGAAGAGGAAGGAATACAGTTGTCTCTCTAGCCCGTGAATGAATGACTTCCATCTTGGGAGAAGCAGGAGTGGGAATGGAGCGAGTGGAATCTGTTCTGCTCTGCCAGTGTTGACAGAAGGGAATAGCTCCTCCTGCCTCGACCAGAATGGATTCAAGCAGAGTAAACGGAGAGCTGCAGGGGCAGGGAGCAAAGGAAAACAGAGGAGATTGCTTGGAAAACACGAGGAGGGAGATTGAATACTGAGGGGACGCGTGTCCCTGAACGTGGTCATGAGGAAATGGAGCACCCTGATGGAAGTGAGAGCAGAAGCCAATGCTGCTCTGGAATGCAAAGGAGACACTGAGTTTAGTGAATATAGCCCTAAAGCCTCAATTTTGAATGGCTGAAATTAGAGGAATGGCTGTGGAACAGGGCTAGAAAAAGATGATATTTAAGGTCCTTTCCAATCCAAACCTTTTAATGGTTCTATGCTGTGGGAATGACTTGTGGCAGACCAGGGGGATATGAGGAATTAAAGTCTTTTAATTCCTGCTCAACACCATCCAAGAACTGCTTCCCAACAGAGGATGCATTCTGGGGAGGATGGCAGCATTTAGGATTTGTTTGCAAATCACAGCTGAAACCTAGGACTGAATTTTGCTGCATAAAGATTTGGATAGTCCTGCCAATTCCCATGATAATGCCTTGATTTATTAGCTCTTTCCTAAAGACAAATGTGAGATAACTTCAATAGGCAAAGTTGGCCTTGACTGCCACTTTTAAAAATACTTGAAAAGAGACTTAAATTAGGGGGAGAAAATGCAGAAAGATCTAAAAAGGGACAGAATAAATTTAGAAATCAGCTTCAGAACTGGCTGGATTCTGCAAATGTCTAAAACTAAAAATAGAGGGGAAAGATGATTTTTTTTTCCCCCCTCCTTGATCAATTTATTTTTTTCTCTCCTCACATTGGGGTCCCCTCTAAGTTTACACCGAGCCCACGAGCCAGTGCCTGGTAAACATTTTTGGTGTTATTTTTGTCTAAGTGACAGCCCTGGGTGGCATCCAAGCACAACCACAACAAACTCGAGTGAGCCAGAGCAGCGTGAGCACCAAAAAACCCTGGAGCAGACAGGGAGCGATGCCACTGCAATTCCATCCTGGGGGATTGCCACCTGCATGAGGTCCCCAAACCACAAAGCCTCTTTGAGACGCTTCTTGGCTGGGATCTGGCAGGAGTGAAGCTCTGGCACAGGTGTCTGTTCCTGCTGGAAGTAATGATTGGAAAGTGGGAAATGGGCTCCTCACTTCCCACATCTCTGTTTGCACATTTTGGATCTTGGACATGGGAATGTCGCAGCAGCGCCACAACCCAAACCACAACCCCTTGGAAGACGGGGCTGGAAATTTTGTGACCCTTTGACTTCAGTGATGGGGATGACAATGACAAGAGCAGCAGGATCTTGGCACAGCCTGGCTGCTTCCCGGCGCCTCAGCAGCTGGGAAGGTTTCTGCTGTGGACTCACCAGATGCTTGGCATTTGGGAATAATTCAGCGTCGATCAAAGCAGGATGGATAAAAAAAAAAAAGGAAAAAAGGAGAACCCATGATGGATTCATCCTTCACTGTGGCATTAGTACAGCCCAGCCCTGTCCCCCTCCTCCGTGTCAGTGGTGAAAAATGCCTCCTGTTCTCCAGCAATTACCTGGTTGGGCTCACCCTTGGAATGCCGATCCTTCGGGAAGCGGCAGCGGCCGCCCCGCTCCGTCATGCCGGTGATGGATGAGCCCCTGCTCAGCCCTGCTGCCATCTGCCACCAGGGTCCCCTCCCCGGTCCCCAACAAGTGACATCCTCGTTCCTTCACACGGATCAGGGGCTAGAGGGAAAAGTGGCAGTGATGAAAGGCTCCTGCAAAAGCGCGAATTCACTGCGGAACGGGGGAGGCAAGGGAAGAGGCTTGGTGTGGGAAGGAAGGAGAAGATGGAAAGATGGAAGGGGAGGAAGGGAGGGATCACCTGACTCACGTCCAGTCCCTGAGGTGTCACCCCACTACTGTTGATGAGGCTCCTGATGGTTTGGGTACTTGCTCATGGCTCTTTTTGCCTGGGATGTCCCTAGGAAATGGAATGTGTCCCAGCTGACACACCACTCACACCCCACCATGATCCTCAAGGCACAGCAGAGCAGGGAGCTGGAATAAATCAGACAAGTGGCGGATGTCAAAACCAAAACTGAACTGGATGGGCAGTTAAAAGAAAACTCCTCTGGGGCTAGGGTGACCAAAGGTAAAGTTAACTTGGATGCCAAACCACCTCTGGATGTCTCAGGATGCAACAGAGTGTCTGAAGATGGAAAGCTTCATCTGGACAAGTTTGGGACATCATTGGAAACCTCCCTCCTTCCTCAAGGGAGATGCAAAGCTCAAAGAAAGCCCTGCTTTGCTGATGGCATTTTCCAGGCTGGGTGGATCTGTTCCACCTCTGGAACAAGATGAGAGGGACCTGGTGGTGAAATCCTGCCATATTTCTCAGGTTTGTCCTCAAAACCTTCAGCTGGAGCCACCTTGCTATCAGGCACAATCACTTTGCAAAGTACTTGGTTATGGTCACCAAAACCTCTCAATTAAATTTATTTTGGTAATAAACCCATTTCACTTCCTGGGTTTGATCCCAGGTTTGCCCCAAGCTGCTCAGGTCAAAGGAAGCTGAAAGTTGGAGCTGAAATCTCTCCTCAGGCAGGATTTACAAGGGAAAAACAAGAGGAAAAAGCGGTTGGCACTTCTAGAGATGCTCTAAAAATGCTCACCAAGCAGAAACGGTGCCACAAGAATTATTCCCCCCACTCCAGCTATCCCAAACTCCAGGAAATTGTCCTTGCCCATCTGTCAGCTCAGCTCCAACACAGAACAAATCTCATTAACAGGCACCAGAGATTTAGGGAAGGGCTGGACTATGGCAAAGCTCTTTAAAAGAGGAGATAAACCATCCTCTGCTCCAAGGAACAGAGGTGGTAGGAAGATATAAACACCAACAATCCTCCTGGGAATGCTGGAGAAAGGCCAGGACAGCAGCACGTCATCACAGCTATGTTGGGATGACCCCACAGCAATGAAAATAATTTATTAGGACTGGTGGGGGAAATAAAAGAAAAAGCTTTCCCCAACCTAAGGGTACCACCAGCATCAGTGCAATAATAATAAGTAACAATCAATCAATCAATCATTGTCATCATCAGGATCCTAGCTAGCAGAGTTCATCCTTTGTGGGAGTGGGAATTGCTGGGTTTACTCTACATCCCATCAATTTCCAAGTGGATTTGGCAATAAAGCTGAAGGCGAGGTTTCCAAATCTGTTAAGTCAGGACAGGTAATGGCTTCATGTCTTTTGAGGAAAAATATCAGTGGGGAAAGAAAATCACAATCATGATGCATTTATTTCTTTGTAAGTATTAATTTGCACAGAAACAGCATTACCAAATAATTATCTGGGATAGGGAAGGAATAGTAGGGAATTTTTTTGATGATGCTGCAGAAATATTCTCCTACAGGTGAAGGGATCACTGCATTTCAGCAGGAAAGTCAAAGAATTCCCATTGTTGTGCCCCAGCAAGGCCTGGTTTAATTCCCAGCAGCAAACAGAGACCCACAAGTGAAAGAAAAATCCCCTATTTCATTGTCCTCACTGTTAAAATTACAGATACAGGAATAACATATCAGGATTTTTCTCATTCCAAAACTACATAATGGAAAAAAAAAACCCCAAAAATTCTTCCTAATCTTTTACAGGTTTCAAGAATTTTGTCTACTAAGTATGTTCTCCAACGGGCAGAAGTTGGGAGACAGAGAGAAAATGCTGCCAACAAGGAGAAAGTGACATTTCCCTGTTACTCTGGGTTTTTACACCTCTGAATTTTTGCAGCCACCTCAACACTTGTAAGCTGAAATAATAATTTTAAAATAGAGCAAACATTCTCCCCCTCCTTCCTCCTCTTCCGCCAGTGCTTTTCTCACACATTTTTCTCCAATGGAAGGAGACAGATAATCTAATTTGACGTTTTGGGATAAATTCCCTGCAGGAACTGTGGAAATGCCACCTGCTACCTGCGTGTTAGATTTGATCATAAATCACCAGCACCCAGCATTTCGACAGGATCTCCTGATATTTTAATGGCCACGAAAGGTCTGGCCACTGCTGGAATTAAAGCCCAAATCGCAGGTTTATGTTTTTCTGGAAATGCCAAATGCTGCCTTGCTTCTTGTATCACTCTTAATTGCCCTTCCTTAATTACAAGGAGTGAAATCATTAATTATATTCAGTGGAAAGGGACACAAACGCTCCTGCTTGAGTCTTGGCCCTCTTGGAAGTTCAGAATGAGCTCTGGGAGGATGTTGGGCACTGGAAAAGGAATATTTGGGCAATGCTCTCAGCCACAGGGTGGGATGGGTGGGATGTCTGTGCAGGGTCAGGAGTTGGATCTGATGATCCTTTCAGGTCCAGCTTGGGATATTCTGTAATTCTACAGTGCTTAAAACACCAGTTCAGCCTTGGGAGGCTCCTCTGGTCTCCTGAAATCCAAGGTCAGACATTTGGAATCTCAGACCAGGTTATGGATCTGGCTGCAACATCTCCATCTGAGACCTCCCCTAACCATGGGCTACATCCCCCCTATGCTTCCAGGAGATTCTAAAACACCTGACACTGCAAGGATGTCAGAGATTTTGAGCTGCTTTGCTGGCAAAGCCAAGTGACCAGAACATCTCTGCTCAATCCTTCATGGCTGGGAGAAAATCAGGGTCAGCTTCTAGCATTCAAACTGGGAAGGAAAAAAGAAAAGAAAAAAAAAAAAAAAAGAAAGAATGGGTTGAGTAAGGTTGGTTTAATCTCAAACTTGAAGACCCCAAACACACCCAAGCTGCCCTGTTTGACAGCAGAGATGCTGGAAATATGTCCAAGAGGGACACAACTGCCTGGGGCTGCAGGAAGATCCCAGAGAGGATATTCACTACCACACCTTGGGTTTCCACAACTTTTCTGTCACCCCAATTCTCTGAGGACCAGGAGGGGACGGGAAGCCCTGAGTGCAGCTCTCAGTGCCCAGCACTGACATTGGGAGAGGAGCATCCCGACTGTGTTTGTGCCAAAGCTGGATCAGGAACAGCGTCGGAATCCTCTGCAAGGCTTCAAAGTTTCCGCATGATTATGCGAGCAAATATTTGGGCTGGAAGTGCTGTTAGTCATTATTTGCAGTTCATTTTCTCTTATTTGTTCTCTGTCTTTTAAATAATAAAAGAGAGAAAGCCAAGATGACAGCTCACAGCATTCCCATCCAGGAGCAGCAACAACAGCTGGATTTTTCTGCTGAACACCTTTGGTTGTGCACAGCTTCCCGGGAAATGCTGTGCCAGGGAGGAATTTGGATGGAGTCTTTCTGGATTTACACCCTGGGGCAGCACAACAGGAACCATTCCCTGTTTCCAGTGCTCACCGGATCTGGGGGCTTCCCTGCTTGGTTGCTCTTTGGCACCTCATTTGGAGGTCTGATCATGGCAACAGCTGTTCCTCAAATCCAGGGCTTAGCACCGTTAATCACATCAGTAGGCAGCGGGGTTTCCTCCAGCAGGAAATCCAGGAACAGCTCCAGACTTGCTCCCATTCAGGGAAGGGTTTACACTCATCCATGGAAGTGCAAGGATCCCTGGGCATGAGAGAAGCTGTTCCACTTCAGAGTGGTATAACTGGCATCAAAAATTACTTGAGATGTAAAACCACATCTCCAGATCCCCCACAAATCACATTCCAGCCCCAGGTGTCTCTGTGCCTCCAGCCCATGGTGCCTCTGCCCTGTACAGAGTGGGGTGGGAAGGTCTGGGCAGCAGCACTTCCATATAAAAAACCTGGCATGGAAAGTGTAGGATTGCTCCCTTGATTCTCCATGGCAGAGGCCTCATGCCTTGTTTGGCAATGGGCTCCTCTTCCAGAGACCCATGGTAAAATTTCCTAAAATACCAGAGGAGCTACCCTGGTAGCAGGAATTTTGGACAGGATGAGCCAAATCTCATGAGTGTCCCCATTCTTTCCCCCCAAAGATTTCAAAGTGGTGCCACATGAAATGCCACGTGAATTTTTTAAGGGATAATATTCCATTTTAAGGGATAATATTCCACTGACCCAGCACATCTATCAGGGTGGAGGGGATGGGGAGAGAAGCAAGCTTGGCATTGCAGTTGCAATTTTACTCAGGCCATCATTTTGGAGCTCAGATTTTCTCATTCTGGGGTTCAGGGCTATCCTTGAAATAAATTATCCCTGCCAAGAGCTCCTACAGCTTCCACGCTGCATCCAAAGGGTGGAGAGCAATCCATTAACATCACTGGGCAAAGAGACAAGCAGCACCTCAGGGGAAAAAAGAGTGGAAAAAAAAAATCACAGTGCTGCTCCCAATAGTTCAGATATCTCCAGTCAAATCAGAAAATCAAGGAGAGAAGCTGGGAAAAAAAGATAAAGGAACAAAGAAATAAAGGTAATTACTGAATGTTACAACTTCTTTGCTTTGAGATTTTTTCTATCATTTTGGTCATGCTTTCTAAGTCCACACACTAAATTAAAAATAGCTGAAAGGGGCTCAGTTTAGATGGGTTATTGGGAAGAAATTCCTCCCTGGGCACAGAGAAGCTGTGGCTGCTCCATCCCTGGAGGTCCCAGTGCCCCCATCCTGCAGCCCTGGGAGAATCTCCTCCCTGCTGGAGCAAACATTCCTTCATTAAAGTGCTCCACATTCTCTCAGGAAAGTCTCTTCTGCCCCAAACGTGCTTTAATATCAAACAAAACACATGCTCTGAGTTTGCAGCCTGCTCTGTTACCATCCTTGATGAAAGGAACACTTTTTCTTCCACCTTTTGAAATGGTTTTCCATCCCCTCGGCAAGACCTTGGGCTAGAGATAGACTGAAAAAAGAACAGCTGCTTTTTTTTTTTTTCCTTATATTTTTCCTTTTTTTTGGGCAGGTTTTTCTGTTTTAGTGAAAAGAATTTCCCCCTACCTGTAGATTTCTTTCCCTTCTCCTGCATTTCAAGTTTTGCAGCTCACTCTGATGCTGACCAGTGCCAAGCAGGGGCTGCCTGAGCGGGTTTTTAAGGATAACTGGGTGATCTCAGCCCTTGTTTTACTGTAAGCCTCCCAGTCCAGCCTGAGATCAGGGCTGCAGTTGGAATTGTGCATTTCCCACGTGTCCTCCCTACACTGATGCAACCTTTTGCTTTTAAAGCATCTGTGATGTGGATGAGAGGGTGGGAGAACGCTTCCAGCAGGATGGACCAGTCCCCATCCCACACCCAGCCTTGCTGGGCACCACATAACAACCTGAAGCCAATCCTTCAATCACAACCTCCTGGAAATCCAGCAGCCCAGGAAAATCCATCCTGGGTCCAGCAGGGGAGATGCAACCCCAGACATCCCCACTCTCTCTGCTTTACACTTTGTCTCTGGTGTGCTTTTACAAGTGTAGGTAATTCTTTTGTTGTTTTAAAAATTATCAGCAGTGATTGAGTATGAAAGGACATCAGGAAAAAGAAGGACTTGGAGCTGCTCAAAAAGTCACAAAGATGCTCTGAGGGCTGGATCTGCTCTGCTCTGGAGAAAAGCCTGGAGAGCTGGGGGTGCTCACCTGGAGAAGGGAAGGTTTTCAGGGACACCTTAGAACGCCTTGCAGTGCCTAAAGGGGCTCCAGGAGAGCTGGAGAGGGACTGGGGACAAAGGATGGAGGGACAGGACACAGGGGATGGCTGCACACTGCCAGAGGGCAGGGTTAGATGGGATGTTGGGAGGGAATTCCTCCCTGTGAGGGTGCTGAGGCCCTGGCACAGGGTGCCCAGAGCAGCTGTGTCTGTCCCTGCATCCCTGGCAGTGTCCAAGGCCAGTTTGGATGGGGCTTGGAGCACCCTGGGACAGAGGAAGGTGTCCCTGCCCAAGGAAATATGATCTCTAATGTTCCTTCCAACCCAGAGCAGTCTGTGATTTCACAGTTCCCAGTCTCCCAGCAGCAGGACCATGGTGCTGCCAGCAGGACTAAAGCAGCAGCAGCAGCTTCTGGTGGGGACAGGGGATGTCCAGGACACCCAGGAGGCAGGGCCAGGGCAGGAGCTGCTCCAGCCAGGCCAGGGAGCAGCAGAGGGATCAGGATCCACTGAGTGCACCCCCAGCTCTCCCCATTGCAGGCAGGATGTGCAGAGCAGCCTTAGAGCAGCTCTGTGCTCCTTTATCTGCTGTCCCTGTCCCTGCCAGGGCTGCCTGAGGGCACAGCTCAGGGCTGCAGCTTTGAAGGGCTGCCAGGAACCCCTGGGGCCCTCCTGCTCCACTGCTCCAGCAGCCCGGGTGACACCAGGGGACAGCAGCCACCTCTAATGACCACATGGCTGACAGCTTCATAGGGCACTGCTGCGATCCCCCCTCTGCTCAGCCCAATTTCCACACTGTGGGAACTCATCCCTCACCTCCCTTTTTCCTTTGCAAACAGACCTGTTTCCCTTATGGGATGGAGCAAGAGCTGGCAAAAATCCATTTTGTTCCCCCTGTGAGCAATGGGATTGCTCCAAGCTTATGTCTTTATCTCTCTCATCACCAGCTAACATCAGTGGCTCTGATTTCTGCTCCCTCCATCTCTCTTCCCCAGCTTCATCCAGGTATTGGGATTCCCTGCCAGCTTTGAAAGGAACATCCCATATCCCCTGCATCTCCTTTGGGAATGTGTCTGGAGAGCCAGGGTGAACAGGAGGTGTGGGAAATGGCTCTTCAACATCCTGGGGACTGCCTGGCTGCTCCTCATCCCACCCTGCCCTTGGAGCAGGGCTGGAAGGGCTCACGAGCTGAATTCCTGTCCTGATGGAAGCTCAGGCTTGTCCTGCACCAATCCATGGCTATGTGACATTTCCCACTGTGACATTCCAGCTGCACCCCTCACAAAACTATGCCTGTATTTCCCATCAAAATTCAAGGCACCTCCAAAGTGTTCTCCCCATTAAAAAAATCCCAGCACTTTCCATTCCTAAAATTTCTCCATTTTCATTTGTTTTTCAGTAAAACTCATTTTGGTAGGACAGTTGGGAAAAGACAGGAGCTTAAACCAGTCCACCACTGATGGCAAACCCTTTTGGTGCCCTGAAAGTAAGATTTTCAATAATAAAGGAAATTTTGTGCCTGTCTGCTTAAGTCCTGGCAGCTCCACTCATGCTTTGTATGGAAAGCCAGAACTGAGTGGATTGATCCCTTAAAATACTGTTTTTTAAACTTAATAATATCTACTTTTCTCATAAAATAATGTCTGCAGCAAAAGGGGTGCACAGAAACAGCAGCACCAAATAATTATCTGGGACAGGGAAGGGATAGTAGAATTTTTATGATGATGCTGCAGAAATATTCTCCTACAGGTGAAGGGATCACTGCATTTCAGCAGGAAAGCCAAAGAATTCCCATTGTTGTGCCCCAGCAAGGCCTGATTTAATTCCCAGCAGCAAACAGAGACCCACAAGTGAAAGAAAAACCCCTATTTCATTGTCCTCACTGTTAAAATTACAGATACAGGAGTGATCCTGGGTGTTCAAAAGCCAAGCAAAATAGTGTGAGAGATAAAAATAATGTATGTGGCTGAAATCCATGGTACCTGAGGCAATCCTTGTGGGATGGAGCAGTTTATCCTGACAGAGAGGGGGAGGCTGGATGAGGAAGCCACAGCAGAAGAGGGTGAATGGTTTTATGGGCTGTGATACTTAATGGTCCAACTGGAAATGACATGAAAGTCCCTGATTTTCAAGGTGACTGATTTGAGCTGCCTCAGACCCTGTGTTATCAGCAGCCACTCCTGAAATCCTCCCAATCTGTCCCTGGAGGCCCCTGAGCCAGGAGGCAGCAGGAGTCCAGGGCTGGCCCCCATCCAAGCCCTGCAGGCAAAGGCTGATCTTGGCAAAGCTGCTGCTCTGCAGTTTGAAATCCAAGAGCTCCTTCATGCCTCCTGACCCAGCATCAGAAGCAGGCTCATTCAAGAGCTTCTTTTGCTGCTTAGTCCCAGCTTTTGGGAATCTGAGGGATTTTTTTTTTTCCTTAAGAAGTTTCCTCTTTCTCTTTTACTGGAAGAAAGTCTACTTATTGCATGTCATGAAACCAAAGGCATGAGCAAAACCTGCTCTTCCCTGCTGGGAGGACACAGCAGATTCCCACTGTGCTTTGCTTTGATGCGGCTGACAGACTCCAGGGATAGGCGGGAGTCACTCCTGCCTCACCCTTTCTGCAGGAACATTTTCCCTCAGTCTCAGGCTGCTGTTGGTAATTGCTGCCCCGAGATGTGCAGGGTGTCTCTGCTTTGAACGAGTCTGGACTCTTCACTTTTCCGTCCTGAAGTTGTTTATTAATTCTTATCTATAAATTTTTATTTCTGCCCAGCTGAGGTCTGCTCAGCAGGGCAGCCACAGGCACTCTGACCGCCCCCGAGGCGGTGTTGTCCTTTTATACTACAAACTACCTATAATATATTTACACTTAATTCCCAATACCTATCACCTGTGTTAGACAGAGCACTTCTACTCCAAACCAATCCCAAAGTGCCAACATCACTGCAGAAAATGGAGAACAAGAAGAAGAAGAAAGGCTGGACATGCCCAAGTTCCTCCATCTTGTCCCCACAACCCCCACACCAAAAATCCTAAATTCTACATTTTCACCCTGTGATAATTTTATTATTACACTATTCAGACCTCTGTGACTTTCACATCCTCATACAAAGCTGGCAACTTGCTCCAGGGGTCAAAATCAAATCCCCAGGTGTTCTGGGCTGTGTGCCAGGGTCTCTGAGCCCCCCTGGCAACTCTGGATACCTGGAGGGATGCACTTTGTTCCGACACCTCAGGAGGGTACCCTGAGCCTCCTCTGCACCTGGGGGCCTTCAGACCTCCAATCCTGGGCTCTGCAGTGCCCTTGGGTGACGCACAGGGAATCCTGGCCTCAAACAGCTCAGCCTAAAGACCAAAATACCCCCAAAGCAGTGGGATGGAAATCACTGGAAAGGCCCTCTGGCTCCTCCTGTGCTAATTGCCAGCAGTCCAATTGATGGGCTTAATTGCTGAGTTGCTGAGGAGGCAAGTGACCTATTATGGATCATTGTTTACAGCAAATTAGTTCAGAAGTTCCCATCATTCTGCCTGTCATGCTCAGGGGCAAACTCCTTCTGCTCTGCTGCTGAGCCAAGGGCTTCCCTGGCACTGGAACACTCAGACAGGAGGGAAAGCTGAGCAAAGGCATAGCACAAGCCTGGCTGGGCAGCAGGAGAAAGCTCCGAGCTGTTAAGGGTCACAGAGAGAGAAACCAACAGCTCAGAGGGGAAAATGCCCAAGGAAAGGCACCACAGAGGTCCTGGAAGGGCAGGTGGGAGAGGAGGACACAACTCCTGGAGCACAGCTCAGACATGGTTAAATGGAGCTGCTGGGGCAGTGGGTGGAGGATGGATGGGTTTGAG